TTTTCAGCTATGTCCCCATTTTTATAGTGTGTCGTACTAGTTCGCATTAGGCCTACCACTAACAATCCCAACGATTGCGTCATATTGCAAACCACAGTAGTCTAACAGGCCAACAGAAGTTTGCAGACGGTTTTTCTCAAGTTTCCTTTGCCTGCTGATATCATGGTTAAGAATATTAGCAAAAAACAGAGAGCTTTTTGTCTTGAACATTTCCTCACCACCAACTCATTTCGTAAGTTTCGCTTAAGGTACGGAAAAAATGTTACGTTTAAGGTGCCCTTAAGTCCTTTTTGGTGTCAAAGGTGGAAATGGTAAATCAGTTTGGGCCTGTAGAGAATCGGAATTAAAAATTCAATGACAAAACGACTTCTTCAGGTCAAACACACAGTGTTCGCACCCTTTTAAACATCACCAGGGTTCAGAATTCAGTAGATGAGCACCTTGAGACGTCTGTCCGTTGACGATGTCTGCAGCAATGACTTTCCTACTTCTCAACGGTCCACACTCTCAAGGCAGATCTTTATTTACAACTGTACCGTTCGCAAAGCTATCAGAGGACAGCAATGTGGTCATGCATGATTCCTCGATCGTCTTGAAAAGTGCGAACTTCGTCTATGACACTTTTTTCCTTGGCAAAGCCCATATTCACCTTTCAGGTTATATCAACTCCGCAAATGCTGTCTATTTGGGCAACCTCACCCCCTCCCCCTTACATTGCCTCTAGAGACAGTTCCATACTGTAAGGTGTACTGTGTGTGTGTGACTTTGAGTATTCATGGTTGAGTGTATCCTTGTGTATGGCACCACTTAACATTATGAACGACGCGTTAAAATGTGTCGAGTCCAAAGGAGGACATACATAGTATAGACAATTGGTTCTCGGAATTCCACAATTTAAGCAATATATTTTTAAAACTCTGTAGGAGAAAAGAAATATTGTTTAAAGGTTACAGAGATGGAAAGATTAGATTTTAAAAATAAAAAGAAAGGAAAAAACAAACCAAGCACTATGACTTTCCTTACAAGATCTTTTAAATTGGTGCATTTTGCATCGGTGTTTTTTATAAACGCCATTTCCGTTTTCAAAAATATTTTTTCTTTGTGAATTTTATGTCAAACAAATTCCTTTCGAACGAATTATTCTGTTCCAAATTACAACATTCTTCTAGTACAAATGTGGTGCGAGATATTTTGAAAAAAGGTTGTACAGTTGTTGTTTTTATCTGTCTGTATGTATTGAAATTATTTTTGTACCTTTTCAGTTGGAGACAGAATATTCCAACATCAGTAATGAATACTGCTCACTGAAATCCTTAATTACTTTCTGGGCAATCAGTATTATCCCTCTCCAGGAGGTAAAAGATCTCTAAAAATTACTACTAGTTCTACTATCAGTATTAAGATTATTAAGAAGTATTATTTTTGAATTTTTTACTCTTCAGAATGTTTTATTCTGAGATTTTCTGCGTGAACACAAGTAAATAATATTATGTTGCTAGATTTAAATACAGAGTCAGTATTATATAGCGAGCATTATATTTAATTTGTTTGTACACTCTAATGTGGAATTAAAACAAAAATTATTTCCATTTTTATGACTTTTATGTGTGTTTTATTTGGTGTACAGAGGAGCTTCATATTATGAATATATTAAACTTTTCAGGTCTGTTTTGACTTTGACTCATCACTCTTAAACAAAAAGTACTAAATATTTCGATGTAAACTGTATATCATTGTGAAGTCAAAGAAATAGTTGTATACCTGTTGTGTATGAAATGTTTCAACGCAGTCATTTTAATTATGTTTGCGTAAAGAGAAGCACATTGGCACGTCAATACTCAATTAGTTCAGGGAAAGAATAAGACAGGCAGAAACAAAAGTAAAAGAAGGGAAGAAAGCTGCACCTTCCGACCACCCACCCATACAGACAGAAACAACAGAGGGAAAGACAAGAAATAGGACCTACCAGTGACTGCAGAGGAAAAGAGAAGTAGGAATAGCCATTGGTGCCCTCAGCTCACCTGTACATTACAGATAGATTATGCAGAGAAAAAAGAGATAGAGGTATTGGCTTATAATTCATCTTTATCAGTATCAGAAGTTAAGTTTTAGTAAAAGAGTTTACAGCACTTGCAACAAAATTAAGTCACATGTAATATGTGCCGAAGATTAGAGGTGCTATAAAAAAGTAACAAACACAAAAAGAAAGAGAGATGAGGATAAATGTTTGAAAGGGGAAAAAAGGAGCAAACCACACCAAAGCACCTGCCAACCACCCGCAGAAGTACCAAGCCAACATATCTAAAGACCTGTATAATTTCTAAACAACCCCAGATCCTACCGAGTACCTGCATAGCAGCCAAGGAGTTCATACCATCTGAGCTCAGGCCTCTAAGTTTTAGCTAAAAAAATATTTAATACTGAAAATCTATTTGTTTAGGAAAAGAGAAGCACATTAACAAATAACACACTACGCTGTCATTTCGGTAATCTAGTGGTTCGGCATGTAATCGAAGGGTCATGGGTTTGAGCCCATGGGGCTCAATGTTGCGTCCTTGGAATAGGCACTTTACACAAATTTTCCTCACTTCACCCACGTGATAAGTACCTGGCTGTAGGCAGTGAAAGATTTTGAGTTTGTTAGTGTTAGTGTTTGAGCGCTTAATCGGCTGCTTGCACTGTATGTTTCCCGGGAAGCCAAGAATGTTTCTGAGGGTTCTAAGGTCTGCTGGGATAATGATAGTTGTAAAGCCCATAGCACAAGTTGTACAACATACATAGAGATATATATATCATATAAATGCAATTATTATTATTAATTAGTGCAGGGAAAAGGCCCAATTATACAAACAAAAAAACAGTTTAGTTTTAGTAGAGGTTTTACGGCGCTCGCAACTGCATAAGGTCATATGAGCGCCAGAAGATCAAAGGTGTTACAAGAGAGTAACAAACATAAAAAAGAAGGAGGGGGAGATAAGGACGATAGATGTTTGATAGGAAAGAAGGAGCAAACCACACCAGAGCACCCGCCAACCTCCCAAGGGATACCGGGAACCACAGTAGTAAAAAAGTAGGACTTGCAAGAGGTGCCTTCCAACCAGCGGCTAAAGGTTCTAAGTAATCTAAGGCTGAAAAAAAGTTTCATTTTAGTAGAGGTCTTACAGCGCTCGCAACTGCATAAGGTCATATGAGCGCCAGAAGATTAGAGGTGTTACAAGAGAGTAACAAATATAAAAAAGAAGAAGGGAAGATAAGGACGATAGATGTTTGATAGGAAAGAAGAAGCAAACCACACCAGAGTTCAATATCATCTGATATGTAGGAATACAAATGTATTTTGGTCAGGGTGTTCTGACAGAACAAATGACAAGTGTATACATAGTTCTACATTGTGGCTTTGGTATAGTGTGAGTTTAAAGACTTGTTCAACATGCAAAGACTGTTTGAAGAGAAGTATGAATCGTAAAGAACCTAACTTTTTTTACACCACAGATACTTTGAGTTTGAGGGGTTTTTTTGTTTTAGTTTGATTTTTTACAAAGCATTTGCAATACAAATAGGTTATATAATGCTGAAGATTACACTAATTAAGGGTGTTGCAAGAAGGTAACATACACACAAAAAAGGAGAGAGAGAGATACGCTTGATAGGAAAGAAGGAGCAAACCACACCAGTGCGCCTGCCAACCACCAATCACCACAGACGCTTTCAGATCAAACATGTTGAAGCCATTATAACACAATAGCACAGCAGGTAACACTCCTTATTTGGGTCAGTGTAATTAGAAACTAGAAACTAACCAGGATACACAAGAACACATAGGCCTACACAGCAAGGTGTTTGAGTTAAGTTAAAGGTTAAACTAAAATACAGTACATCAACAAAACAACAGTGATTTAGTGCTGAGAAAAAGACCGACAGAAATAACAGTGAAAGAAAAGAAGTAGGACCTACCATTACCAGTGGTACCCTCCAAACACTAGGCACAAGGCATTTAATCAAGAAAATGATGTCAAATCAAACCATGAAACAACATTGTCCATTTTTTAAAATTTATTTTAAAAAATCATTGTAAAATTTTCTTTTTATTTCATTTGCATAACAACAACTTCTTACACAGCACTCAACATCCTTGAATACAAACTATCACAAAAATATTTAAACAATGTGGCAGAGATTATTTGGGTGAAAGCCAAGGTTTCCTTTACCTCAGTGATGTATATATGTATTTGTTTCGTTTGAGTAAAGAGAGGTAGATTACACAAGTAACCACCATTTATTGGAGGGGAAAAGTAGGACAGATAGACAGAGACAAAAAAAATGAAAGAAAAGAAGTAGGATCTACCAGTGGAGTTGCGCCTTTCACTTCCAACCATCTCCCCTTGGTGATTTTTTAAAAATCCACAGATAACTAACTCATATCGCAATTGTCAAAAAGCGAGCAACAGCAACTCCATTTCTTTTTATTACTTATCATGAGAAGCAAGGTTAAACGTAGAATTCAGTACTTCACTTGCAACACAGACATTTTAGGCATTTTGAGAGAAATAATTATTTCCCCTCTTTCCAGGGTAGAGAGCATTTAAGGGACATCACTGCTTCATTTCTAAAGCTGTAAGAAACCCAAAAGGCAAAATATAAATAAGCCTAATAACCCCCCCCCCTTTTAAACTAAAATCCTTGGTGTGTGTTTATTTTTGAATCTGTCATCCAAATAATAACTTCCAGAAAATCACAATTCGCAACCAATTGGAGTTTTGTTTTAAAAAGAAGCACATCAACAAAAAGCAAAAAGGAAAGAAGAGAAGTAGGTTTTACAAGACATGCCCTCCAACCATCTGCTCACAACAATTAAATGCTTTCATAAACCCTTCATATATATATAAATGTGTTCTAGTAGCATTCATCACTTTCATCACATCAGAAGCTCAACATTTGATCAGATTTCCCCCTAGAGACAGATACTACAGACACAGCAGCTGCACAAAGCAATCATTTTCTTAAAAGCAACGCACTGAATGCTGACACAACACACGAGTGACACTCACTTATTTTCACCAGAATAAAACGGAATCTGCAGCTTGGTAGAATAAAAGTTAACACAGTAAAGTCAAGAGGCCAACAAATGAACTTTTAAGGTTCAATAATAAGCGAGGCACAAAACTTTCTTTCACCCCACCCGGAATAAATTGTGCACAGAAGAGTTTTAAGCAAAACCAGGCTCGTCTGTAGTGGAATTGTCCAGATGGCAAAGTGGCTTATATTGCTTCCAATGGTATAATGCAAGCAAAAACTGTAGAGTCCGTTTCCGAAAACAATGGGGAAAAAATCCAAGATATTTTTCTTGTATTTAAGCACGCTCTCTACACAATAAACCCGGTTACACCTTCGGCATTCAAGTCATCCATAGGATTTCAGTTTAAGGGAAGACTCGGGTCGGCGATCCAAGGCAAATATCAATACAATTTTTCAAACTATCCAACTTTTGTTTTTTGCGGAAAAACTTCCTTTGACATCTGTTCTATCAAGTCAAAAGGAAGAAACTGTTGAAAAAACACCCTAAATGACCTAAAAGGGCGTTTGAAAAGTGCAAATTGCTCTAAAAAGCATTTTAAAAATCCCTGTTTTTATCTGTTTTTCTCAAAATCTACTTTTTGACATATGTGACCTCCAGGGTGCAAGGAGTTTTCAAAAACTACAGAAGCTAGAAGCTTCACATTTGGTGTACAGGTGCTTTAAGATCGATTCTGGGGATCTATGTAATGGAATTGGGAAATATTGGTAACTTGAGGAAATATTCAATTTTTTTTTGTAATATGTACCCCAAAATTTCGTCAACTGACTCCAGGGTGTCCAATGACTTTGGGCTCACTTTTTTTAGTTTTAAAGATAGGTCAAAATCCTTATATGGATCCCCAGTTGATATAGATTTGTACTTGTGTGCCAAATTTCAGGCTGATAATTCTATATTTACTATGAAATTCTTCTGCACTAAGAAACTGGTTTGAAAATCCAAGTTGGCCGCCACAGAGACCCATTTTTTAGAAAAATTCAACAAATTCCCCCCTAGTACGTCCTATTTACCTATGAACTTCTTACACAATTACATGAAATTGAATAAAAGTCATTCGTTTAGAAAATTTTTCCAGGAGTGTACGTCTCCCCTTAAGCGAACTCCATTATATATAAAAAAAACTACACACAATCAGTACCTCAAACAGACAGTTAATATTTGTCTGATAAACAACCAACTTTCGAATCAGAAATAATTTATAAATAAATATTTCTTTAGATCAGGACACTTCAAGAGAAATCGCTAAAAATAAATTTATAGAAAATCTCTCATAATCTCAAAAAGAGCCACAGCTGTTATTCCATTCTTCCCTTATTTCCCCTGAGAGTGATGAAATGAATCTTCCAACAAATTATGCAAACACACTGGTCCCCACATGGTTATTCCAGCTCATTCTAGCGTTTACCTACAAAATGTGTATGAAAACTAAAGAACACAATATCATTCATTTACTTTGACAGTCGGTTGCTTCTTTCTCGTCTCCTCATACAGCTTCATGGCCCTTTGCTTTGCCTCATTCGCTAGTTTGGCATTCTTCTCCGTCCCGTTACCGTGGCGATACATGAGACCCAGGTTGCTACAACTGTACACGCTCCCCAGCTCACAACCTTTCTTTGCCAGCTGAAATGCCTTGGAGAGGTCCTTTTCCACTCTCTGACCCATCAGATAGAAGGTGCTCAACTTGAAGCAAGCCTCCCCATCGTTGAGCTCACAGGCTTTGTCTAAGAGAGACATGGCTTTCTCCGAGTTGCTCTGGTTGTCGCCCGTGCCTGACAGTCTGAGCTGAGCAGCGTTAAAACATCCCGAGCCTAGTCCGTAATCGCAGGCTTTCTCGTAATATTGCAAGGCAGAGATCAGGTCTGGTTTGTTATCTGGTATACCTAGAAGGAAAAAAGAGTAGATGGTAGATGTTATTTTTATACTAACTTACACACCCATACACACAGAATTTAGGTTCTGTTTGTTTAGCTTGTGGGTTTGATTATTTGTTTATACTACTTATTTGATTCGATGTTAACACAATTTAAATCATTTAGGACAGAAATGGGCAAACTATGGTCCAGGAGCCAGATGCGGCGTATGAGCAGTTTCATTCTGGCCCAAGAATGGACCCAGTAATTAATGATGAAGGTGGCCAAGCTGGAAGCAATAGATCTAATATTCTATCTCATGAAATGCTCTTGCGTGACATGTGCTACAGACTGTAGTGACAGTGTCATTTTAAATATCACTTTCGAGAGCTTTGAGTATTTCAACCAATTTCACCCGAGCTTCGGTCCAAGAGATGTTCAGAATCGCATTATAAATTGACCTGCGACTCGGACACACTTGCCCATGACTGATTTAGGAGGTGGGCTGCTTACCCCCCCCCCCCCCCCCCCCCCCCCACACACACGGCATAATATTTGTTTGAACAATAATCAATTAAAGACACAAAGATACACATAAACCAGCTCCACAACATATAATATAAAAGTAAAAAATAATGTTATATGACAGGAACAATTCAGCAGTAGAAAAGAAAAGAAGCAAAGAGATGTTACAAGTAGTGAGAATGAATGGTTTTCATTTCTTCCCTTTGTGAACCCCAAAACAAATTTTGAAATGTCATCATCAAACCAATCAGCAGTAGTCATTTATTGAAAATTGCTCAAAAAGGGAAACCCCAAAACAAAACACTAATTTAATTGAAAAAAAAATGTTCAAAAGAAAACCATAATTGAAAAAAAAAGAAGAAGAATGTTTTATGCATGACAAAAAAAAATTCATTTTACTTTTGCTCTGTGTTGACAAGTTCACAAATAAAATCACATCTCCCAGTTTAGTAATTTCATGCCACTGATATAGGCCACTATGAAGCTTCTGATAATATTATATTTGACAGATCAAAATCATAGTGAAATATAAAGAATTGTAGCTACTGTCATTTTTGTTCCCTAGTGCAGTCCATATCGTCGAAAATGACCACCCATTGTTGAGGAGAAAAGTAGATCATCTTAGACAGGTGGACATTCAGGACAGTGTCATTATAACATTTTAAAAAAGCAAGAAAGGTGATGAGAAGCGGTCGTTTGTACAGGTGGCCGTTAAAGCAAGTTCGACTGTTTTTCCATTGTAAAACAATATGAGCACAAACAGACAGTTCCAACAAACCTTTTCCAGTGATGAGACACTGGCCATACTTGTAGCAGCTCTTTGGGTATTTGTTGCTGTCACAGTTCTCCTTGTACAGAGGGGCAGCTGCTGTGATGTTCTTCTTCACATTCTCTCGGAACTCAGCCAAGCGGTGGCAGCCTGAATGATTAAAAATAAAGACAGGAATCTCACTAACGGAAACGTTTACACTTCTTTTAACACTATTCACATTATAGATATCCAAATCCAAACATTTTTTTTATTGGGTGTGTAAAGGCTTAAAAAATTTTAAAAAGTGCTTTTTCTTTTCACATCTGTTACTGACTCTTTTGATTCAGTTGATGTGAAGTAACAACTTAACAAGGGAAATCAACAAAATTTGTTTCCTAAAAGAATTCATGATAAGTGGACTTTGTGGTCTGCTTCTTACAGAAAGTCAAAACATGGTGTGTTTGGTCTTGATCTTTTTGTTTCATACCCTTGCAAGCAAATCTTTTAACCTCCACTGTAACCACTGACCATTTAAATTTTATGATCAAATGATATAATTTCAAAAAAGGTTCCTGTTATTATGACATGATAGGAACCTGGGGATTTTTTTAATTCAGGAGGTTACAAAAAAAAAGAAAAAGAAAAAGAAACAGCTTAACAAAATCCTTTGCTTGTGTTTTTATTAATCTAATACTGTAACTGTAAGTGCTTAAGTTTCAATTTAGTAAGGTTTTCTTTTTTTATAGCGGAGGGTTTTACGACGCTCGCAACTGCATAAAAGGTCATATGAGCGCCAAGGGGTGGGTGTCAACAGAAAAGTCTTTACAAGGAATCAGACTTACTCTGCTCACCTCTCTAGCCTCAACAGCATAAAAAGTCTGCTGACTATCACGGCACCCCGGAAATAGCAGTTCACAAGAGAGTGACAAACATACAAAAGAAGCAGAGAGGTAAAAAATGATAGAAAGTTGTTCCGGCACAGCATGAGCATTTAGATCAGACCATTTCATTTACAATTTTCTACTGTGCATAAGAACATGTTAATACCCCCCCCCCCCCCCCGCCCCCTCCCTTTGAGAATGGCCTTTACAAACAAATTCAGTCAGAAGCACTGCCCAGGTGGGGGGGGGGGGGGGGGGGGGGACGGGGGACTGTAAGTCTATGAGAAAGATTTCAAAATTCATAATTTTTTTTTTAGAAATTTCAGAAAAAAAACAACAACCTTGCTGTTCTTCATACGTTACGATTAATGGAGTTATTTAAATAGCTAAACAAGTTGTATCTCAACTATTGGTTCACTTTAATAGGGCAAGTTCTCCTCAAACGAACGCTTCGTTCATATAATTTAATAGGCTATGAATATATATAATAAAATCTATATGGGTATTTTCTACTATTTGTGCCGTCAAAATTTCATGGTGCAACTTATTGTCAAATATCTCCTCCACTATTGAACATAAACTCTCCAGATTTTGCACGGTGTGTAGTGACTTGTATTAATTTGTACAGATCAATATTTTTGTAAAAGACCTAGCTGTTAGCTCTATTCTAGAAAATTCCTTAATAATACTAATAAAAAATCCTAATGGGCGGTTTCTACTGATTTTAAAAGGTTAACAGCTGGGACAATCGCTTTTAAAAGCAAGACAAGTCGCGTCATTTTTTTCAAATCGCGAGTAATTATCTTTATAGAACACATATATATATGTTTAGAGAACCTTTAGAGCAAAAAAGGGTTCACTATTAAATTAATTTGTTGTAACTAGTTTTGCCACTAAAAAGTGTCATTGGTGAGCTATGTTTTTTTGGGGGGGATTACTTTTTTCTTTTAAATTTTCTTTTCAACTTAAAAAAAATAAATATGGAACGCTTCACAAATTTGTTACAACAAATTAATTTTAGTTTTTTTGTGACGTATGGTAACAAGCCCAAGGTGAGTGAGAAGCGGGAAGTGCTGCGAACAATTCTATTTTCCCCATGAAGGATCCGAGGTTTATAGATCTAGTATTTTAATTTTATATAAATTTATGAAGCAGAAAAGTTCTTTAATCTAGAAAAATCTAGACTCTAGATTAGATCTAGATATCTAGCAGCCTCAATTGTTGTGGAAAAATATGATAAAAAAGTTCAGATAAAACTGAGACAAACTGTTGTGCAAAGTATGGGTGACATTGATTCACCCCTTGTAAAGATATTTGAGGATAAGTTGTGCCACGAATTTTTGACCCCACTGACTAGTGTTTAGATTAGGAGCAGCCATATGGCCTCTGTACCCATTTTACTGATAATAAATTTGTAGCTCTAGAGATATAGGCTAGACTCTTACTCTTCTCTTAGAGATCTAGATTTCTAGCTAGATCTAGATCTAGATTCTAGACATAGATCTAGAATCTAGATCTAGATTCTAAATCTAGATCTAGATATCTAGATCTAGAATCTATTTTTTATATAGATTCTAATATAAAAATATAATAATTTAGAGTTAAAAATAAAAGAGAAAACATTGCAAGATGAACTTTAAACTAATATTTCCTGTTAGTCTGAAGACAAAACCCTAATCATTACTTAAAGCAGAAATCTATAAACCTAAACATAGCGCAAAAACACAAAACTAAATCGATAGAAATTAATAGACCACGGACCACTGCTGAAACTAAAGAAAAGGGGTCTCTGTTTCTACTTTCGGTTTTGCTTTACGCAACGTTGTCCAAATTACCGTCAGCTTCTTTTTGATCAAGACACTGAAACTGATATTCGATCTCCACGTCACGTAAATATTCTTTCGTTTGCTTTTCATCCGTTAGATCATAACTTCGAGCCATTTGAATAGGTCGTTTACTGCAAGAACAAACTGCAATCTTGTATCTTCGGCGACTCGGGTCAACCAGCCCAGTTTTCGCTTCAATTTTCTTTTCGTAACTTGACCTTCACCCTGTTTGTTTTCGTATACACGGCGGATCTATTGGTACAAAGTAAGTGTAAATTACATTTTTGATGCCAGAGAAAAGCAGCTTATCTCGGTCACCTAGTTTTGCCAAAATCATAAAAGAAATAGCGTTTTTGAACTTACATTATAATAATATTGTGAAACATGAATGAACAAGGACAATAATTAAGTTTCTAGGTTCAATCATACATCCGTTCAAACTCGGAACGTATAATAATATGTTCTTACGTTAGAAATGGCAACGTGGAGGTGTTTTTACGGACGGCACGAAACTTGTTCCTGTTTTGGAGGGACATTAAAAACCTAGCGCAGTACAATAATATTATGATGCATTACGTGTAATTCGATCAACATCTTATATATATATATATATATATAATATATATATATATATATATATATATATATATATATATATATATATATATATATATATAAATATTTCGTCTCTCTCTCTCTCTCTCTCTCTCTCTCTCTCTCTCTCTCTCTCTCTCTCTCTCTCCCCCCTCTCCCCCCCCCTCTCTCTCTCTCTCTCTCTCTCTCTCTCTCTCTCTCTCTCTCTCTCTCTCTCTCTCTCTCTCTCTCTCTCTCTCTCTCTCTTTGTGGTTTCGTTTATTCTTGTCTCCCACACACTTTTGTTTTGTTTGTGTGTGTTTGTCTGTACATTTAATTTATGTCAGTTTGTTTTGTTTTTGTAAAGTGTTTTAATTACGGCGCTCGCAACTGCATAAGGTCATACGCGCGGGACACACCTAATATTTTCAGTGGTATGAAATTTTGAATTTTGCCCGGGTGGCGGCCGAAGCCTACTCTTATAGATTTTAGACCACCAAGGGATCTTTAACGTGCGCAACTTGCACACGGGCCCTCCAAGATTTTTCGCCCTTTAATATAATTATTGTCCGAGAAGGCTAGGTGTAGATCTTTCCTACCAGAAGATCAAGGGTGTGGCAGAAAGACAGCAGTAAGGAGGAGCCAAGGAGTAGCAGTAGAAAGGCTGCAGAAAGAGTCAGGAGCCCAGAGGAGGAGGCAAGTGAGGGGGTGGGGGAAGAAAGTGGAAATGAAAGCAGACAACAGAACATGCTAGAGAGCAGGAAAGGAGGTGAAAGGAGACAAATATTTAGAGAAGAAAATTTTTCGGTCGCTACCCGGATTCGAACCCGGGACCTTTGAATGAGACTAGGCCAACACCTTAACCTCTAGGCCAAGAGAGCCCCCTCAGTAAGTTGTCTGTTTGTATGCTTTGGATGCTGATAGGTCTCCTATATAGTGGTGAAGCTTTCAATTCATGGAACGCTCATATTATTTAAATTAATTAACGCTGGAATACGTGCTCAATTAGCATGAACAATGGAAATATTAAAATATATCATCGTTTATAGAGAAGCCATTTTTGTGTCGACTGTAATTCCATAGTTTAATATTGTATTATGTTTTCTGACTCGTATTTTTTCTATTGCTTACCGGAGTCAAACAAAAGTGAAAAAAAAGGAAAAAAAATAAGTTTAATAGATGCAAAGTCCTATATTATGCTGTGGAGTATGGCGATAAATGCATGCAACAATAATTTATTATTATTTTTGTTGTTGTAACCTAAACTGTGTAATTTTACAACCCAGAGACGAATTATGCAACCTGGCAATATATAATACCCGGAAACAGAACAGCAAAACTTAATTGTAGCAATAGCATTTTCTGTCCCTCTTGCGCATGCGTGGATTTATTGATGGAAGCTGGGAGAAGACAAGCTAGCGACACTACCTTGTTTACATCGCGATGTGCTTCGTATGCAGAACATTGCGCCATAACGTTTCTGAAGATCAATAGCTGTTGGTAAGTTTCAGTGACGTTGTATTAAGATAAGAACATGTAGTTTATGTCTTTTGTGCTTAAAGTTCTTGGTTGACGCGATTTAAAGGTATTATTTTCATGTTTGTGTACTACCCTGGGCGGGACCCTACTCTTGGCCTCTCGGTCTCCATTGATGATAGATGTTGATCTAGGCCAGTCGGGCACCAGTCAGTCAACAAGGAAGCACGAACCGAATAGGGAACAATTTACATTTCGTCCCAGATGGACCGTGTCTCTTGTTTTAACTTTTTGGATATGCTGCCCTGTAGATTTTCTGCAGACTAGTGATTGTTTTGGGTAATCCTTGTTTTGATTTAGGTATCAACAGTTTGGCCTTTACTGTACTTTACAACGTCAGTATGCCTGCCAGAATTTCATTTTGTTGGTCTCTGTTGGGAGTTCATCAGTTCACCAGGTGAACTTCTTATCTAACGGGAGCCAGACTCTACTGACAGTGGTCACAGTTCCTGGAAGAAACATTTTACTTGTTGTGTGTCTTTGCAGTCTAAAAATTTTGTGCTACCGAATTTTGAATTTTGTTTCTGGGTTTTTTGTTTTAAATATTTTTAAATATTTTTGTGTTCAAATCTAAATAATGATAGTGATTCACTCTTGACCTGCGTTTTGTGCCGAAATGCGAATCTTCACCAGCAACCTAGACTAGATCTATTGATAAAAGAAACGGATGGTAGATCTAGTGTTGGTTCTGAAAAGGTAAAACAACAATTCACAATAAATTGATGGCAGTACTTCCCCAGAGAAAAGCTTTGATAATAGGAAAAAACTACATTCAGGGCTCCATGAACATAGCCTGCAAACTACGTTCACGGCGCTGTGAACGTTGTCACTGCGTTTATAATATGATATTCCTTCAAGGTATGCTATAGAGACTTCTACGTTCAAAACAAGTTAAGTTGGTGCCTCTAGATGTTATTCTAGTGAAATTTGAACAACGACCGAAGTGGCTAGCCGTATGAGCCGTACTTAGATCTTCTTGGTTTTCGACTCAAACCTGTTGAGTACACAGGTCTCATTAGATCAAGATCTAGATCTAGTAATTATTCAGGTTTAAAAATAAAATACATGCAAGTCAGTAAGGCACCTTTTGTTTTTGTCTGAAATACAAATACTTAGGACTTAGGAGGCATTGCAAACTAAAAATTTCATTTACAATTCAGCCATCAATAATAAGTACGGCTAGCCTGATTGTCTAGCCGTACTTAAAGGCTAGCCTAGCCGAGAAGTCTAGCCCTACTAGCCTGCCAGTCTAGCCGTACTTATCTTAGGCCCTATCTTAACATTCATTAGAAGAAAACTGGTCTCATTAGTAATTATTCAGGTTTGAAATACTGGCACTGTCATTAAGGCACTTGGTTTCGTCTCAGATACAAATATTTTAGGTACTGCAAACTAAAAATTTATTTACAATTCAGTAGGCTTATAAATTTTATTTTATTTTTTTGGTCAGTCTAGCCATCATATGAGAAATAAGTACGGCTCGCCGTACTTGCGGCTACGGCTAGTCTAGCCGTCATTAAGTACGGCTAGCCTCTTCCTTTGAACAAATTGGCCCATTTAGACATATATAAGGCACTTGAAAGGATTATAACCAGGAAACAAGACTTCCAGTTTTTGTAAGAATCTTTTTTAAATGAGCTTGATTTTTACATAAAATGATATTGCCTGATAATAATCTTGTTTGAAAACCAATGTGCAGAGAGAAAGAAAATTGGGTAAATTTTTACTTTCACTCTCGCACATAGATCTAGATGCACTTCTTTGAGGTTCAAACTGCAGTATTATTTGCTGCAGATCACATAGCCACTAAAACTGGCAAATCAATTATTTTAAAAAAAATTTCGAACCTAACTAGACCTAGAAAACTTCAAGTTAAAAGGTTAACGGGAGGAGCTACCCTTGAGGACCATTTTCTATGTTTGTTGCCCCGAGATCAAATCTAAGTACACATATAAGTTAGACATAGTAAAATCTCTTGATGTGCAATTTTATTTTGGCATAGCTTCAACGGTTGCTATGGAAACGGCCGCCATCATGAAAATAAAGAATGAATTTGAAATCCCTTCTAAGGCTTTCTTATTTACAGACCAAATTTGGTGAGAGTATACCTGAACCAATCCCTATCAGAGTAACAGCAAGTTTTTTTCAATAGGTGCAAAAGAAAAAAAATTATGAGAATTTTCCCAAAGTATAAAAAAACTGCACAAAAATTACATTTTGCGAAAACCGACAATAATTGTGAAAATTCACTACATTAATCCATCCTCATGTTTTTAAAGGCAAATTACCTGCAGAATAAAGTGTTTCTCAATTGAATCCATGCTATTTTTAGACAAAAAACTGGTGGATCTTCAAAAATCAGCCAACATAAAATGTGCATAGCCTGACCCAAAATCTGCAAAATCAAGGGTCGCTCCTCCCCTTAAAATATGACAAAGACACACTGATTACTGATGAACAAACAAATTCAATTTTTGTCGGAACATGGCTTTGAAAATGTTCAGTAGTGTGCTTTTGTTTCAATCAGTTTCTTGTTCAATGATGGATGGTTTATATAAATTTCTATCTTTGAATGATGTTTTAAAAAGCAGTATAAGCGTTTTAATTTTCATGAAGTTAAGTTATAATTTAATTCGCCTTTTAAAGACTTAGCATTGAGGGTTCCCACTGAATTGGGAAAACGGGAAACGGATGAAAATTTCAGTTTTTAGATTCCTCGGAATGTATTTGCCTTTCGGCTCTCCCAACCCCCAACCCATCCCCACCTTCTCGGCGTCAACACAAGTTCGAAAAAGTCAGATCCCGACAGTCCAGGACACTATGCCACGTGCAGCTAACTTAAACACCCTTTGTGCACTGAGCCCAAGTAGTCGCTCCATGACCCTTTGCCCTAGAAAAACATTCGCTTGGAGAAAGGCCAACATTAGTTTGTGACAAGGTGTTAACAAATGATTGTGCCTGTGGTGGCGTAGGGCAAATAACAGAATTAAAGAAAAAACAACAGATGTGTGACATGTTTTGTAGTTATGTACAATTAATAGTTAAGATCAAAGACTTGTGACGGGTCCTATCAGTTTTTTTTTGGTTTTTTTTTTTTGGGGGGGGGGGGGGGGGGGGTTTGTTGCAAATTTTTACTTCCTAGCTCTGTCATTTAAAAAAAAAATAACCACTTTGAAAACGTTAACAATATCCTGAAGGAAACAGGGGAAAAACAGGACATTTTTCCCCGCCTGATGAGTGGGAGTCATGAGCACTGCAAATTAATTTTTTGGCTCTCCATTGGTCATCTTTTCTTTTTTTCTGCCTATCTGTTCAGGGGGTTCTTTTCAAAAAAAATTTTCAGGTCATTGTTTAAAACGACATTGTTGTATCCTTTTTTACTCAATACGGTTTCCTTTCGGTGTTGAAATTGAAAGCAAATTAATGTCTGGGAATTTTTAATTTTTAATAAAAACACCCCAGTTTGGTTTTTCTTTTCTGTTCCTCTCTTATTTTTCTTTTTTATAAAAAAATGTTCTTGAAAGTATGTCACCTTGCCCTACAAACAAAAATTTATCAATAGATAAATGCGTTGAATAGCATTTTAATTTATATTCTTAATACTTTCAGGTCGACATTTCCAGCTGGGTTTCTTGATCGACAGAGGGTGGGGCTATTCTTGGACTTCGTTGTGAAAGGACATTGATTTGTCCCAGCCATGACTGGTGGATTCTCTAAGGTCTACGAGCAGTGGCTGAAAAACTCCAACCATGATGATGATGATGCCAATGATGGAGACATGGACGAAGAAACCCCTTACGAAGACCCAGAGGGCATAGCGGACTTGATGGACAGCGATACGACGGAGGATGAGGATGGAGGCAGTTTGATGAACCGATCTCCTTTTTACGAACGGCAATGGACAGATAAATCTGCTGAGCTTATTTCCGATTCCGCACCGATTCTTTTAGATGATGATGATGAGATTTTTCCCAGTGAGAAGCAACAGTTTGAGGAAGAACCTCCGATTCTAGAACCTGTGTCTGCACCGACACACGACTCTAAAAGTTCTCAGTCCCAACATTCTTTGGTGAGCCCCCCACGGTCTGTGGTGAGAAATTACAGTCGAGAGAGCATGGTTCGATCGTCTGAGAAAAAGACGATGAAGACATACAGTCGGAAAAGCAGAGTGGAGGAGAATGCTCAAAGTCTCAATGACTGTCTGAAGAAGTCGAAGGAAAGCGGCAATATTTTTGACAAGTTTTCTCCTTTCCCTGCGGGTGTTGAGGATGTCCCGCCTCCTCTAATACCCAGTCCCGAGGCCTTGCGTCTGCATTCTGAGTCTCCCACTGGAGTGGACCAGCCTGCCACTACCTCGGACAGGGAACACCCGGGATGCAGTCCAGACTTTTGCGCCATGGAAGCAGACTCGACTTCTGAAATTTCAGGCGACTCTGTGACGTCGTGCAATGTCCGTAATAAAAACCCAGTGGCGGGTGATGTGGTCGTGGAATGTGACAGTACGTGTATGCTTGGTGGCTCCCCGGCCATCGTTTCTCCGTCTTCAGTGTTGAACGGTGAGTCTGAGGTCCGTGATCAGGGCGGTGGTAGCGGCGTGGAGGCGGATGCTGGTTCTCCAGCGGAGCAGGCTCGGGGCACTACCTTCGTCACAGAGCTTGTCCGACCAGATCCTGTCGCTGCTTCTCTGGAGACAAATGAGAGTTGGTGTGAGCAGGATGCGTCAAGAGATGGTTCCCTCCCATCCCTTGACCACCCGCCTTGTTCAGGGGTCAGTGACGCTTCTTTTGTGCCGGCCTCCCCTGTTGTTTCTGTGTCACCCCCTGCCCCGCCCACCTCTGGTTCTCCTTGTTTACAAGTGAGTGTTGAGACACCGATGCAAGATGAACCTCCAGTCCTCAGTGCTATCCCCGCACCTATCACCTCGCACTCAAGAACGTCAACAAAGCGCCATACCATCGACAGTCCGTACACATACTCTTCATCCGGCAAACGGCCTCATACGTTTCCGTCTCCTAAAGTAGAGGATGAGGCTCCAGATCTCGAATGCTCAGCTCCTCCTCTTCTCCCCCTCATGTCAGAAACAGTCATCACTCTTACCTCACCCGACGGACAATCTAAGAGCTCGTCCCACAAGTCATCAAAACAAAGCTCGCTGTCCTCAAGACGGGGCCGGGAACAGCGTCGTGCTAAGAGACATCGTCACCGTCGCATTACCGTGCCCTCTGAGGATCTGACGTCGGATGTGAGTCACCTTCCCGAGGAGCTTCAGCAGTTTGTGCTGTCCACGCGGCAGCTTTCTGCCATGCAGAGCACACTACACACTTTGGTTCTCACTCTTTTCCCACAGCTGAAGGCTGAGGTCAGCTCTATGAGCCCAGAGTCTCTCAGGTTTGAGCTCTTTGTCAAAGACATGGTTGAGTCCTTGCAGCAGGGGGATGATCAAAAGTCAGAGGAACACCCACCGCTCACTCTGACAATCAAATGTGAAAAGGACGTCGGGAGTTACGTGGACCAAATGGCGGGTAAGGCAGCACAATCGTCTGATGCATCGAGAAACCACAGTAGTAGCAACTCATCACCTCAGTGTTTTGTTTCCAACCATTCTCAACGGGACGAGCCCGCCCTGTCATCACATTTGTCCACTCGCAGTCGGCGGCCAACAAGACAGTGCACAATCAGAGAGGACCCTTTCACCTCGGAAGTGATCCCGCAGTTTTCCCAGCTGGATTTGAAGAGTGAGGAGGAAGGCGGGGGTTTGTTGACTCTTAAGCCCGTGAGAGTGTGTGTGCAGAGGACGTCTAGTGAGCATTTGCACAAATTTTGCTGTTTGTGTTGTGACTTGTTACAGCTTTTACTGCCAGAGCTGCCCGTCAGCTTGTGCAATGAGCTCTCGAACAGCCCCTCAGATCTGCTCACTTTTATTGAAAACGTTGTGGCCTCTAATCAAAGGGAGAGGAGAAAACATTTGCTGTGATTGTGAAGATTTTGGTCTCCTTTTCCCTCCCGGGACATTCCTTCGATGCAGGAATATGTTGTTTTGTGCTCACAGGATGTAGCAGTGCTGGTATCTCAACCCCACCAGTGGCTCTCCAAGTTAGGTTTCCCTCTCTGTTGATGCATATCTCTTGAGCGTGAACATTTGAGTAGTTGAAAAATGCCTGTTGGATTTGTTTGAAATTTTCACTGACTGCATGCTGCTAGATGCTAAAGGACAATGCAGTTGAGTGCTAAGATAATATTTTTGAGTAACTGTCAAAAATACTGCAAATAGCAGTACAAAGTATAAACAAAGACAGAGTACTTCACGCATTGCCAACTTTATGTGCCATTTCGCTGCACAGCATTTATATTATCAGCAAAGATGTGTATTCAGTCAAATTGAAGTATGATAGTATCTTTGGGGTCATTGATTTTTGTAGGCCACCAGTTGTTTGTTTGACCCAGTGGTTGATACATATTGAGTAATCGAATGAAAATTACAGATACCCAAGTCAATTTTCTTGCAATCAGCGTTACTAAAAAAATTATCATCTTAAACTGTAGATGTTATATTTTTCACAAGATATTTTTCTTCGGGACATTTGTATTTAGTTTTATGACTGAAAATAATGGTCAGTTGTGAGTGCGACTGCTTGTTTTGGAGGTGTTCAGTGAGTTTGTTTGCTGAGGGATATTCTTCTCACCCTAATGACTGTGATCATTTATGGTTCTTTCCCCTGTACATGTGTTCAATTGTATGATGCTGTCTCTCTCTCTCTATCTCTCTCTCTCTCTCTCTCTCTCTCTCTCTCTCTCTCTCTCTCTTTTATCCTTTGTTCCGTGACATTTATAACGAATGTGTACTTCTGAGTGGATGTTTTGTTTGTGTGTTTACAAACCCTATACCAGAGTTCATGTCACTGAATGAGAGCTTTTTGGCATAAAAGATATCATGAGGTATCATGGACATGTGTACATAAAAGCTTGCACTCTATGTGTACGTCTCAGGGTAGTGACGTAGTGCAGCATTTTGTCCTGTCAAGGTCATTTAGTCATAGAATTAAGTTGCATAATTTATACACATTATAAATTACCCCCAAATTGCTATTTCCCTGTATTTTTTAAAATCTACATTCATGTAATTGATTTTCTCTTATTGTGGTTTGGGTCATTCCGTAAAAAAATTAGATTGCAGTGACACACTTAATGCGGAGATGAACTGCTGTCAAAAACGCAGCCACTTGATGGAACCGTTCTTTTTTAAATTTCATTTCCTCTTACAAAAAAAAAAAAAAAAAAAGAACGGCTCTAGTGTATCTGTAATTTATTTCAGCAGGTCTGTCTTGTCGTTGTTTGTGTCTGTGCAGTTTAATTTTTTTATGGAATGGCGCTTTTATAATTACCTTGGTAATATTTTACATTATATATCAGAAAATATTCTCAGACTGAAAACTCTCATATCGACAGGTCGAGATGTTTGTAGGAAAAATATCACGCTTCCATCTCTTACTCTTGGGTTTAATGGTAAGAATGTCTCAAGAAGACTTGTTGCTCGGCTTGTTTTAATTTTTTTAAAATCTTAGTATTATTTGAGGCGGTAGATTTTTGTTTGTAAAGTGACAATAAAACATAGGGAGTAGTAATAGTATGCACTCCTAAAAGTAGTACCTCTGGAAGTTGTGTAGCCTTTGACTTTGATGCTGCATCAGAAGTGTATTTTTTTTCAGCGAAGAAGACGTACTGAATTGATACTTCTTATTGTCCTTGTGCAATGTGGAAACAACAGAATAATCAAAATTATTTGAATTAAAATCCAAAAACTTGAAAAAAAATTAAAGATAGTGCAGCCTCTCTATAACGCCATCATTGGGATCAGAAAAAGATGTCGTTATAGAGAGTTGTCATTATAGAGAGGCAACCAAAAATTACTAATGGTATACAAGGGAAAAAAATCGGGACCTGGGTACCATGTCGTGAAACAGAGGATGTCGTTATAGAGAGGCTGCACTGTACTTGGTCTGAATGGTGGTGTTTATTTTGTGAAAGATTTTGCATTCGGTAGATTGTTGACAACAATGGTGTATGCAATAAACTGCGCAGCATAAGTATTATTTCAGGATTGGGTTTTTTCCAAGTGAGAAAGTGGGGGGTAGGGTGAGTGTGTGTGGTAGTGTTGTCACATGTTATTGATTGATGAGACATACTAAGATAATCACCACGGCGAAGCGTGGCACTTTCGTCTTGTGGCATTGATCTGGCAGCTGTAGCAGCAGCAGCAACTTGGAACAGGAGGCAAATTATCTTCTGTGCAGCTCTCTCTCTCTCTCTCTCTCTCTCTCTCTCTCTCTCTCTCTCTCTCTCTCTCTCTCTGCCCCTTCTCTCTTTTTCTACCCCTTCTCTCTCCTTCTCTCTCTTTCTACCCCTTCTCTTCTCTCTCTCTCTCTCTCTCTCTCTCTCTCTCTCTCTCTCTCTCTCTCTCTCTGTCTCTCTCTCTCTCTCTCTCTTGTGTCTCTCTTTGACCCTCCTCTTATCCTCTCTTTCATTACTCTGCATTAATTTGTCTGTGCCTTGTAAATGCCATCACATATAAAAATTATTTCCCTTGTCATACCTACATCTCCCAGCCTCTTTTCTTTGCTCAAAGTAGACATGCATGCTTATTAAATAGCTGTTGCTGTCTAAGGAGGGAAAAGAATTTAAAATTGAACAAACTACTCACATTCTAAGTGTATCTGCAAGTTCAGTTTCCCCCCCTTAAAAGATTATAGTAAGTGTTTCGTACACACCCAAGATAATTATTGTGTTGGATGTTTGAACATTAAATCATTTTTTAAAAATAAATAACAACAATTAAATGTATCCTGAAAACAGTTCTTTTCATTTATACTTAAAATTATTTTATTTTATGGGTTTTGTGAAGAAATCTGGCCATCGTTGAATGTTGGTTGTGGGTTTTTTCTTGTAATGATTTTTTTTTTTCTTTAAAAGGGAAACGGAAAGGGAATTTTATGGAGGATTTTTTGTTATTTCATTTATTCAAACTGATGATGCTGCTGCTGCCTATGGGCTTTTCTTTTTGTGTGCTCCTAGTCATTTGTGGTGCTGTGGCAGAAGGTACAGTCAAAGAAATACCAAAACATAAAGTACAGGGAGTTCCATGATACCGGTTTTATTGCTTGTAGTTGTAGAAAAATGTGTTTTTCTAATATTTTTTTTCCCTGTCTGTGTATTAAAAAAAAAAATATTTGAGTGAATGTGTAGTTATATTGTTAAAATGTCGTGAATGTTACGATGAAATATTTTAGTTCAGATTGAAATCGATTCTTTTATATGAATGAATATCATGTTCCCTTTAAAAAAAATATGTGCCAGACACTCACACTGATGCCTAACATTGCAACATGATGTTATTTCTCTGTTGTGAAATTATAAATTTGATATGTATGTGCAAACGGTGTTAATTGTAAATTTAGCGATTGATTATAATGCTTTTGTTGTCTCACATTCCATCTCATTGTGTATTCTGTTTTAAAGTAAGAGAATGTCTGTGTTGCGCATGCATTCATGTTGTTTTTCCATTTTCCCATCAGATCTGCCTCCCCAATACTCATAGTCCTATCCTCTTAATTAACTCTCTTCTTTTACTTCATTATCTTTTCTTTTTGCTTCCCCAACCTCTCATCTTTTATTTCCATCACTCACATCTCCTCCCCCTTTAATTTAAGTTTTGAGTCACTTACATCAGGCATGGCAGTCGTGCATTATATGTTGTGGGTCCAGGGCAAAAAGCAAATCTGAACTAACTGGTGGGCCAACACAGGAGAGAAGTGGGTGAAATTTGTGGAAATACCAAAGCTCTCAAAATTGAGTCTAAAACTGACACACTAGCAGTTTGAATGTGTCACTCGAGGACATTTTGTCGCATTTTAGTTTTCAAGACAGTTTGGTTTTTTATTAATTATCAACTCACTGGCAGCCACATTCATTATTAATTACTGAGTCGAGTTGCTGGCCAGATTGAAACAGCTGCTGACCAGATCTTGGCATGCTTGACTTGCCTGTTGTTGCTGCTTGTTTCTCCCTACTGTCACCTGTCTTTACCTTATATGACTGATAGCTGAGGATGATAATTTTTCCATTGTTTCTTTCCATCCTTAATAGATGGTTGGCGGTTGCTATCGTTGCTCCTTCTTTCCTATCAAACGTTGATCGCCCTCTCTAATTTTTGGCACTTTTATGTAATAGAATGAACTTATTTGTGTTGCAAGTGAAGTAAAGCCTACTAATACTTTATAAAAACGAAAACTTTTCCATTTTCTTTTCCCCTCTTTTACCTTCACTGCCCCCAAACCCAGTGTTCAATTTCATGGGTCAAGACTGACTGACTGGTCAGGAATATACGTGTGTGCCAATCCTGTACATGATGTAATGTACTGCTCGCAACATCTCTTTGATGTGTTGTTTAACCATGGTAGTCAAGGATGTGAAAGATTGTGTTGCATTCATTATTTCCTGCTTGCTCGATGATGTAGGTTTGTTTGTGTGAGCTGCTATAAGAAAGTGTTAGTATAGGAGATTGCATGATGACTGATATAACCTGTACTTGCTGTTTCCGTTCTTGGTCTACTTGTTCAATAGAAAATAAAATAGAAACTAAGAAAGGCATTTTTTCTCATTTTCATCATTTATGCGTCATCTCTTTACTTTTGTTGAACTGATTGTTTTTTTATGTTGTGAGTGTCAACGGTATTTTTCCGTTAAAGGATATTATTGTTATTAGTTAGGAACTGGAAAATACGTGTTGATTTAATTTAAAAAATTTTTAAAAAATATTACGGATGGGTGGTTGTGACATTGAGTAGAATATATATAGTGTATCGGTTCACATTTTCACTTGTAGTTGACTTCTCATCTTTGGTTTTTAACTGTTTTCTGTGTCATTGTTGACCTTTCCCCCCCAGTACGTTCCTTATCACTTTGATGTCACTTGCAGCAATAATGCGCCGGTGAAAATTATCCGTTCTGGTCACGTGGCGCAGTTCTGCACCAGGCCGAAGAAGTCCGTTGCAGTCACTCTCCTGGCTGGATGACCAGATGGGGTATTTTATACTTCTGACTGTGACTGCAAACTGTAAATGGACAGCTGGATGTGAATTGAACCAGGGGCAGTTTTGATACTTTGTCTGTCGGCTATATGTTCCTATAAACTACACTCCCAAAATTCTAAACTTTGAAACTGCAGTTTCTCAATCTTTGGTATCCGTTGCATGTGCTTGAGAAATATTTTGTTGAAATTCAAATTTTAAATAGTGTTGAAAAAGCTAGAAATAATGCAAAATGTGGGTTCATTTTCCTTTCTTTGCTGGAAAAGAGGTGTTTTCTGGGACAACAACTTAAAATTTTTATTTTTAAAAAAAAAATCTTTCTTTTTTCTCTTACGAAATGACTGTATGGGATGATGTGTTTTTCTTTATTCCAAACATAAAACAAAAGCATTAAATAAAGTGTTTAGAAGTCTATCTGTCATGCCTCTCATGACACATGTTATGGGGCAGTTATTTTCATTTTAAAACGGAAGTAGATGTTTTCTGTGCTGCTTCCAACTATCTGTTTCTACAATTTTGCTTTGGAAGACAACTTTTTGTCATTAACACCTCTCATTTTCAACAGAACAAACTTTTTATGGCAATAACATTTTAAAAACAAGAACAACGATTTTTGTATTATGTTATGTTTTCTACGCTTAATATAAATTAATTAGAACATTACATGTGATGGTAAAGGTGGTACCTGATATCGGGTAAAGCCGTACAAGTATTATTAAGATAAATAACATTATGTTTTGTTATGGTTCAATTACTTGAAAGTCATAGAACTGTGAAAGTAATTCTTGTACTTATAAATGGGGAGTTGAAAAGGTTGGTTTATGACCTGTGAAGAAAACAGGGCTACTACAAAAACTTACAATCAATTTCAATACTTTAGCTATCTATTAAAATTTTTCTCGTTAACCCTCCAAGTGTTGACGACTATTTTTAATTCATTTTTTAAAAAATTTGCTTTTATGTCCTTTTCAAAACACATTTCTGTGGATGTTACTGAATAACATTGATCAAAAGAAAAAAAATTATAAATTCTATAGCTTTGGACATCTCCAAACTTTGGTAATCATGCTAGTTTTACCTCTGACACTAGGTCGTTCCCACCTTCTTGACCTCTCTATTCTAGATTGATGGATATTTTTTTCGTCAGAGCAAGGCAAATGAGCAAGCTTTAAGATTAAACCAATTGAACTTCCTTTGCCCGAAAATTGACAAGCGCCCGATTCCACCGTATTGTGACATATAGTCGACCAGCTGTTGAGATGTACCAGATGCTGCCCAAAATTTTGACATTTTTCTTTTGTTGCAGTTTTTTAATTTGTGGGATTGTTGCATATATTTTTCCAAATTTATTTTTGTACAAAATCGAATTCTAAATGTTTCAAAAAGTAAATAAAGAAGGAAGGTACAATTGTTACCAAAATGAAACAGGCTTTTTTCTCTCTCCTTAAAAACTTTGCTCTCTGGGCGTTAAACAGCTTGCCGGCGATATGTACAAAAGTAGGTTGTGCTCAGAGGGTTGTACATTTAGTGTACTGTTAAGGTACTGAACATTGACATTACGTAAAAACAGCTGACAGGTGTAACGATTCGGATCAATATTGGTGAAGGTAGAAGACCAGATCAATTCGTGTGTGGGGAGGTTTTTACTTCAGTATCTCAGTCTATCCGCTAAGACATTGTTACTTGTATTTCTCTCGGCCCAGATTGGCCACTGCAGGCGGGGCTGAATTAGTATGTCGCGTTAATGATCTTTAGTTGATGTAGAAGGGTTGTAAAACATTTATATCATTACTAGAAATTATATCTCAGGAATTCTGTTTT